TGTCTGCTTACATTCCAACCAACGTCATCTCCATCACTGACGGACAGGTGGGAACTGCCTCCTGTCCCTGTACCCCCATGTGCCCTACTGGCCGGCCTCTGAGGAGGCCTCCAACCTTCTAACCAAGAGAATAAAACAATTTCCTCCTACAGATTTTCTTGGAAACTGAGTTGTTCTACAAAGGTATCCGTCCAGCCATCAACGTTGGTCTGTCTGTGTCCCGTGTGGGTTCTGCTGCTCAGACCAGGGCTATGAAGCAGGTAAGTGTGAAACTGTTGCTCCTTCTCGTGCTGGAGGTAATTAACGTGTAGGCATTACAGCCCATTTGACTCTGAAGAACTGTGAACAGGGAGGGATTAAAGCTTTGGATTCCATAGCGTTATGAAATTATAAAAGGACCAACTTTGGAGAGCTCTTTGCTGTTTCCATTGCCTGCTGAGAGAAGTGGGGACAAAAGGAAAATTGTATCTGCATAAAGACGTAGGATTAGGTTTTGGTATGCTGAACTGGGTGCTATCAACTAGAAATAGAGAATACTCACTTAACCCCGGGCATGGAATTAGGTTTAATATCAGCTGTTCCCATATTAGGGAGAAATAGAGTGCTTATGTTACAAGGTGGATTTTTTTAGAAATGTGTATAATCTGCCAGTGTTTGTAGTCACCTGACTGGTGACAGCTGTGAGCTGCAGACAACCTTCAGACTCTGGGACACCCCCAGAGGTGACCCCGTGGGCTCTGACCTGTGCCCTGTGCTGCAGGTGGCCGGTACCATGAAGCTGGAGCTGGCTCAGTACCGAGAGGTGGCTGCCTTCGCCCAGTTCGGCTCTGACCTGGACGCTGCCACACAGCAGCTGCTGAACCGCGGGGTGCGCCTGACGGAGCTGCTCAAGCAGGGCCAGTACGGTGAGTGTCTGTGTGCTGCAGTTACTGCGCTCGTTCTGTGCACAGGGTAAATGCAGGCTTGCTTGAAGCAGGCTGCCCGTGCGCAGCTGGTTTTCCAAGGACTCTGTGATGTTCTGATGTGTCCTGGTGTCAGAGTTCTGATGGAATGAGTGCTCTCTTCCCTGCAGTTCCCATGGCTATTGAGGAACAGGTTGCAGTCATCTACGCTGGTGTAAGAGGTCACTTGGACAAGCTGGAGCCCAGCAAGATCACTAAATTTGAGAGTGCTTTCCTGGCCCATGTACTGAGCCAGCACCAGGCCCTCCTCTCCACAATCAGGTATGGGGGTCTACCTTGCTTCATCCCCAGGGTATTGACTTGATGGCTGGAGTACAGGATAGTGGTCACAGAACTGTTAATTTAGTGTATCCTAGAACATCAGGCCTTCAGCTGCCTGTGCCAGAACAGGAGGTTAAATCAGCCTTCCTACCACTGACGTTCCTAAGATTCGTGTCTTCAGCTCTTGGGAAATGCAGCTTATACTTAAAGTGAACCTGCTTGCATATGTCTCCTTGGATCTGCTCCTGAAGTCACTTACTGAGTCAGTGCCCGTGTTTCTGACAGCTTTAAGCTGTGGGTTAAGTACTGCTCGGTGGGTTGTTGGGGATTGGGTATTTCCATAGTCCTGTCCAGGGAACTGGTCCTGGCTTGGTTTGTCATGAGCCAGGTTACTCGCCCTGTGTCTCTGAGGTACAGCTCTGTAGAAGGTAAAGAGTGGTGGAATACGTAAGGCTGTTCTGAAAGTATTTGTGGACAGATCGGTTCTTGAACAAGACTAACATTTTTAGGGGAAGGGGCGTTTTGTCACTGGTACGGTGTCATAGGTCAAACAGGAATGTGTTAAATCACCTACTGCTAATTATGTTAGAAATGGGGAGATTTGTTGTAAAGCTTCTGTCTTTGTCTCGGGTTGACTGTGTATCTATTGGTGTGTCAGGAGTTTAACTGAACTCTTCCAACAGGACCGAAGGGAAGATCTCTGACCAGACAGAAGCGAAGTTGAAGGAGATAGTCACAAATTTCCTGGCTACTTTTGAGGCATAAACTCTTAAAACTGTTCAAACAGAGACCAGGCGGTTGTGATCCAGTGCTGCAGCTCCATCAGAGACTGAAGTATGTGGGACTTGAATGTACAGATCTCAGTGAGAATAAAGGTTCCCTGTTCTGAACGAGTGCCTGCTGGCTGGCTGCTTGCATCTGTAGAAACACAAAGCTGAACTCCCCTTGGACATCAGGGGCCATCCTAACTGTGGGGTGGAGCAGGAGGGTGACAGAGCTGAGAGGTATTCTCAGGGTGTTCATCCTTGGTGCCAGGCAGCTTATCCTGCAAAAGGGCAGTGCAGCTGGGGAGGCACCTTGTGCTGCCTTGTCACAGGGGTAACTCACTAGACCTCACAGGAATCTCTTCAACTGCCTGAAACTGTGACAGGGTGTTTCTTGGAATTGCTGCCTGGTGACCCATCCTGGTGCTGGGCCTTTGGAAGACTGGCCCTTGAGTCTCGGGACAGCTGCAGGCGTAGCTGTCACAGTAGTAATGGTTAGAGACGGAAATGCCAGAATCCCACAGTAGTTTGGGTTGGAAGGGGCCTTTAAGGCCATCTCATTCCACCTCCCTGCCATAGCAGGGACACCTTGCCCTATCCCAGGTTGCTCCAAGCCCTCTCCAACCTGGCCTTGAACACTCCAGGGATCCAGGGGCAGCCACAGCTTCTCTGGGCAACCTGTGCAAGGGCCTCACCTCCCTCACAATAAAGAATTTCTTCCCAGTATTCCGTCTAATCCTGCCCTCTGTCAGTGGGAAGCCACTCAACCTTGTCCCTCTAGGCTTTTGTAAACAGTCTCTCTCCATCTTTTCTGTGAGTTCCTTTCAGGTACTGGAAAGCTGCAATTAGGTCACCCAAAAGCCTTTTGTTTTCCAGGCTCAACAGTCCAAATTCTTTCAGCCTTTCCATGTATGAGAGGTTTTCCATCCGAGTAATTAACTTTGTGCCCTTTTTGGACTTGCTCCAACAGGTCCATGTTCTTCCCGTGCTGGGACCCCAAGCTGGAGCTCTTCCATTTCCTGACTGCTTGTGTGAGGCACAGGATCCCAGAGCTGCACCGCTCTGGGATGGGGGAGAGTTCAAGGCCTCTCTCTCCACTTTGCGTGGTGTATTCAGTCTGCTGCAGTGGACCTTGGCCCTTAATCCTCGTGCGGCCTGCACACCCACTGTCCCCAGTTAACCTCCCTGCACGGGAGCATCCTGCCTCCCAGCTCAAACAAGCAGCTGGAAACGTTCTCACACAATCCCAGGCTAACCAGCAGGCTCTGCTGTACTGGGGGAAAATAAACATATTTTTAGTCCAGGAGCACCAGGCACCTTTCTGGGAAGAGTTAGTGCTGTGCTCCAGGAGGAGCGATTTCTATTTTGTGTCTTCTGCGCACAGGTCCGGAAGAGTTGGCTCAGGGGCTTCACAGGTGTGAGGGAATGTCGTGGAACCTTTTTACTTTGGCCTGCCCAACGTGGTCTGTCGCTTCCAGGATAACGTTCATATCTTGTGACACTGTTCCTGCACGTTGACTGGGCGCTGGTCACCACTTGGTGTTGCTGTGCCATCTTCTGCTGACGTGGTGCTGCAGCTGGAAAGCACCGAGCTCAGGGCAGTCCTAGTCCAAAACTGCACAGAGATGTAATTGTTTCTAGTAACCTAAGAAATATTCCAAAGTTCCGTTTTCTGCCCTGTTGCTGCTGTGATGTAGGAAGGTGAGAACTTCCTGGTGGAAAGCACCGGGCGGTAAATGCACCACTTGGGTCAGAGTGAAGGGCAGGGCAGGTTTTGGAGGATGGGCTGCTCTGGCCACAGAGTGGGGCTGGGAAATGGCGAGTGGATCACAGAGAGAGTCGATTTGGTTGGAAAGGGACCGTAAAGATCATCGACATCTAACCCCCTGCCATGGGCAGGGACACCTTCCACTACCCCAGGTTGCTCCAAGCTCCATCCAACCTGGCCTTGGACACTTCCAGGGATGGGGCTGCCACAACTTCTGTGGGCAACCTGGGCTAGGGCCTCACCACCCTCACAGACAAGAATTTCTTTCTGATGTCCCATCTAACCCTGCCATTCTCCCTTGTCCTGTTCCTCCATCCCTTGTCCCAGTCCTCCAGCTCCCCTGGAGCCCCTGGAGCTGCTTTGTGATGTGGTTTCCTGCTGTGGGCTTGCGCCCTCCTCTGTCAGGAGCGTGTACAGGGTCAGTCTGCCTGAATCAGCCTTGCGTTATAACTGAGCATTTTATTTCAGTAAGTGGAAAATGCCTCTTTTTTGCATTAGTGGTCTGTTTTGCTGTCCCTGTGTTCACGCAGAGGCAGCAGCTCAGGGCAGTGGGTGTGATTCAGGCATTCCAGCACACTGAGGCTCGCTCGAAGGTCACTCATGCATTGCTCTGTCTCAGGCACAGCCCCTAATAAACTGCTGGTAACGCGGGATGTGTGTGGTGAAGGAGGGTTGTGTTTTGAGGAGCAGCTGAGGGAGCTGGGGGGGCTCAGCCTGGAGAAAAGGAGGCTCAGGGGGGACGTTCTGGCTCTGCAACTTCCTGACAGGAGCCGGGGCTTGGGCTCTCTTCCCAGGGAACAAGGCATGGGATGAGAGGAAACGGCCTCAAGCTGTGCCAGGGGAGGTTTAGGCTGGATATTAGGGGAAATTGACCAAGAGGGTTGTCTATCCCTGGCACAGCTGCCCAGGGAAGCGTTGGAGACCCCATCCCTGTAGGGATTTAAAAACCACGTGGATGTGCCACCCGGGGCCAGGGGTTAGTGCTGGCCTTGGGAGCGCTGGGGGAAACGGTTGGACTCGATGATCTTCGGAGGGCTTTCCCAACCTGAACAACGCTATGGTTCAATGAAACCATCCTCCAGGAAGTCGCGCGGGTCCCTGGCCCGGCCGTCACGGGTGGGATTCTCCCACGGAGCGCCGACGCCGAGCCTCCCGTGCCCGTCGATGTCACCCAGCCCGTCCCGCTGCCCGACCCACGGAGGGTGTTCCCGTGCGTGGGTGGGGACTCGTCGGGGCGGACCGGGCGGCGCCGGGAGCGGCGGAGCGCGGCGGTGGCAGCGGCAGGATGCGGGAGGCGCGGTTCAGGGACCACTTCTGGGTGAGCGGGACCACGGCGGGACCGGGGCACGGGGGGGCAGGACCAGCCGGAGCAAGGGGGCACAGCTGGAGGTGGGGAGGGTCACCGCTCTCTGGTAAGAGAGGGCTCCGAAGCGATCGTGGCCGTGGGGTGACTTTGCTAAAAGCTCTGGGCGTCCTGGAGTGATAAAACATTGGCACAGGTTGCCCAGAGAAGCTGTGGCTGCCCCATCCCTGGAAGTGTCCAAGGCCAGGTTGGAGAGGGCTTGGAGCAAGCTGGGATAGTGGAAGGTGTCCCTGCCCATGGCAGGGGTTGTTGGAACCAGATGAGGTTTGAAGTCCCTTCCAACCCAAACCATTCTGTGATCCCCGGCAGGCACTGCCCACCCACACATGTCCTGGGAGCTGTGGCTTTGCGACCTGCTCTGCGCAGCCAAAATAATCCCAGCAAGCAGCCGCTGCCATGCTGGAGGAAATCAGAGCCATTCTGAGGGTCTGATAATATTAACTGTCCATCAGTGAACTGCTTGGAGACACTATGGCCAAAAATGGTGCTTTGATGTGGAGCTAATCCCAGACTGGATGAGCTGGTGCTCGGTGTGCTGCTGTCAGCTGCCGAAAGGCAGAGGAAAAGCCACACTTTTGGGGAAAACCACAATTTATTCTTCTGAGTGTGAATTGTGCTCTTCTGAAAGGAGAAGTGCTGAAAAGCCACATATCCGCTGCGAAGAGTCAGCTCTGTGGCCGCTCAGTTCCTCTTGTTGCGGTGGACCTTTGTTCCAGGTATCGGCAACCAGGAAGTAAATTACAAAACGGTGTCTTTTGGGGCTGAAAATCCCCATCTGTGAACGGTGCTCGGGGTTCCCCCGATGTTGCCTGGGAGCAGCTCCCATCTTGCAGGACGGGGGAGAGGAGCACAGGCCCCAGGGGGAGCAGGCACCCGGTTTGTGCAGTAAGTGCAGAGCACCAGTGTCCTTAGCGTGTTCACCGGCACAGGGCTGTCCAATACGCAAATCCCACACAGGTATCAAACCTGGCATGGAGGATAAAGCTGACTTTGCGTCTGGCAGCTGCTTCTCAGGTGTTTGTTGCCACAAAGTTTTCCATGGTGTGCTCTCTTTGCAAATGTATAGAGGGAAGGGCTGCGAGGGCGGTGGCCGCATCCCCCGGGCTGAGGGGGAATAACTGCGATGCCAGGAACGCTGAGCAGACGTGGTTGGTGGTGCCTCAGTGGCACACTGGGCTGAAGAAGATCTCCTCGCCACAGGGGCTGACTTCAGCCATTTCTGTCCCTCTCCAGCTGTGGTGTGGAGTTTTTTGACGGAGGATCCTGGAGGAGGGGGCTCAGTGGGAGAAAATACTGGGGCCGGAGCAGCGCCGAACCCCCCAAGTCAAGGAGGAGGTGGGGCGTGCCATGGGGTGCTCAGTCCTGCCTCACCCCTTTCATTGCAAGCATGGCTATTTACTGAATAATCCCCAACCCTCGCTGAGCCCAAAACCATTGGTGCTGCCAGGATTTTGATTGATTTTTTGCCTTTCTGAAGCCTTCGTGCTTTAGCCGCTACCCCCACCCCCACCCACCCAGCCCACGAAACATGCCTGAGGCAGGAACTGGCTTTCACGTTGGACAGGAGGGTGGTGAGAGTGACTCAGTGGAGAGATCGAGGCCCTGCTGCTGTGGTTTGGCCCATGGAAAACGCAGGTACCACCCCAAGCCATCGCCACACCACGTACTGGTGACTGTGCATCAGCTGCGAGGGCTGGGGAGGGAGGGGGGGAGCAAGAGATGGGAAATAAGAAACCAAATTTAGATGAGGTGTGGAGGTCCAGCTTCCGTTTGCTGTTGGGTGCTGTGAGTCCGCACACACTTCCTCCTGCAATTTTCCTCTTAGATTACTTCGCTTGAGGCGAAAATGGAAGGAGAAGTCTTTGCTGCAGCAAGTGATCTCTTAAAACCATAGAGTGGTTTCATTTGGAAGGGACCCTTAAAGGCCATCTAAGTCCAATCCCCTGCCACTTTCCACTATCCCAGGTTGTTTCAAGCCTCGTCCAACCTGACCTTGGACACTTCCAGGGATGTGGCAGCCACAGCTTCTCTGGGCAACCTGTGCCAGGGCCTCCCCACCCTCATCATGAAGAATTTAAAAAAATTTGTTCCTGCTATCAAATCTGAATCTCCCCTCTTTTAGTTTAAAAGCATCATCCCTTGTCCTAGTGCCACAAAGAGTGTGGTGAGGGACAACGCTCATCTTGAGTAGGTTCTTGATCTGTCCAACAAGGTGAGATCAAGAGGATCACCTCTGCGTGATCCTGGGCAGGTGGCAGATGCTGCCACACATGCTCTGTTCCTTAGTGGTGCTGCTGGCTCAGCTTCTCATCTGGTGGTCCAAAAAAATGCCCAGGACTTTTCTTTTTCCCCCCAAATTAAACTCACCATCACACTCTGCTGCAGAATCCCTAAATACTGCCAAAAAATGCACTTTACTCTGGTGAGGGACAATCCTGTAGAGGTTAGGACAGCCCAAACCCTCAAAAATCAGGCCAGTTTTGGTATTGGATCTTCCAACTTTTAAATGTGATTGGTTGTGAGTGGTGACCACCAAATTTTTTTGTTGGGACAGGGTAGTGAGTTCTTTACTGTGAGGGTGGTGAGGCCCTGGCACAGGTTGCCCAGAGAAGCTGCGGCTGCCCCTGGATCCCTGGAAGTGTTCAAGGTTGGAGTGTTCAGCACTTGGAGCAACCTGGGATAGTGGAAGGTGCCCCTGCCTGTGTGAGACAGCTGGAACTAGGTGGTGGCTTTAAGTTCCCTTCAAACCTAAGCCATACTGAGAATCTATGGCTCTGTGATAAGCTGCAGCCCACCCTTTCCTCTGTCAGGGTAGCAGGGCTGTGCTTCCAGCCTCACCTGGGGACTGACTGAGCTTTAAACCCCACCAGTTCTGGTTTCTTTGATGGATGCTGTGTGTACTCCTGCGCTGGAGCCTGGTCCCTGCTGGAGCTGATGGCATCATGTCCATGATTTGGGAGGGCAGGGGTCCACTTTGCTCTCTGCACTCGAGTTTGCTCATGCTCTTGGGTATCAGCACAAGATGGTAAACTTCCTTAAATAACGAGTCTTGCTCTCTGCACCCTGCTGCAGCTCCTGCTCGCCCAGGGACCGAAGTCCAGGCATGCCTGAAGCTGAACATGCATTGCCCTGAATGTCCCCACTCCCACGTTGCTCCCTCCCACCACCTCTGCTTCCTGCATGTCTGTGAGAGAGCTGTGCAAAAGCAAAAATACCCCAAGCCCATGTTTGTTTGCCCTTGCCCGGCCTGTAGTGATTGCCGCACGTTGAGCAAGCACGAGGTTTTGTTTTCACTTGTTTTTGCAATGTGCTCTTCTTCTTTCACTATGGGACTCCTTTTCTCGCACTTTTTTCCCACTTTCTCAGTGCAAGTCTAGCACTCCACAAGCCCGCTCTTGCACGTCTTTCAGTTAGCCCAAGAGCAAAGCTTTGGGTCTCATCAGAGCAATTTTGTCCTGTAAAACTATGTGCCAAAAATAGAAATGACAATAACGTTAAAAACCGCCTCATCTCTGATCTATGGTCTAACAGCTTGCAGCTTGGAGGCTGAAATTTTGATCATTTTGCTTTTACTGAGACAATGCTCTGCTCTCTGCAGAGTCTTCAGTGATGCTGCTAAAAGCAACCCATGGCTGGGAGGGCTGCGACCCCAGGCTCCTGGATTTATTCCCTGCCTGCTGACTCATGGTGTGATGCTGCCCGGGGCTGTTTCACTTCCCCTTTCCCCTTCTTGTCCTTCTCTGAACAGGGACCGGCTTGGTGGAACTAAATCAGCAGCATTATGAAACAGGTCATCATTTCAAAGGAAAAAGGTGGGGTTTGTGTGGGGAGAGGTAATTTCATCAAGGCAGGCTAGTCCATTGCTTTTGGTGTCTCTGGGATGAGCAGGAGGGGTGCACTGGTGTAGAGGAAGGAATCTTCAAAGGGAAAATTGCTGATCAAAAAGTGATCCCGCTTTTTGCGGGATGATGGTCTCGGGTGGGTGAATTTGCAGCGAGTCCTTTTCCTCCTTGCGATGAGTTTTTGCCTCTCCTGTTGCACCCACCTGGTTATGGGGCGGGGAGGAACTGCAGCCTTGCATAGCACCTCCTCACCTTGCTCCCTGCAGACACCAGCACGAGCATTTCTTTTTTTGTCTCAGCAGTCTCTGCAGGATCCTGAGCGATCTTGCGGCTACGGGGACTCTGAGCAAGGACAGCACAGCCACCTATGGTTGCACAGTGTTTCTGTCTGCTAAAATTTCTTCACTAAGAAAGGTTATTCAGCCCTGGCACAGCTGAACAGTTGGTGGAGTCCCCCTTCCTGGAGGGATTTAAAAGCCATGAGGATGTGGCACCTGGGGACATGGGTCAGTTTTGGCCTTGGCAGTGCTGGGGGAATGGCTGGACTCAGTGGTCTTGGAGGGCTTTTCCAACTTACACAATTCTATAATTCTGTGTTTCTCCAGTGTCATTATTTCGTAGGGTGTGTGTCTTCAGGGGTTTTCCATGTCAAGTGGGGCAGAAGGTGGAATTGTCAAGCTCAGCAACTTGCCTTTCAGCTGTGACTCAGCCATTTCATGCTTTCACATCCCCACTAGAGCATTTCAGCCCCTCTTTTGCCTGCAAGCGCGAACAACCCCCAAAACATCACAAGGAGCACGCAAAACCCTTCTCCTCATTGAGTCTGTTGGGAGGATGGTGGAAATCCAGGCAGCAGATCAGGAAGGGGGGAGTACATGCTGTGGGCTTGGGAAACATCAGCTGCTGCTTTGTCACCTTGAAATCATCTGTTTGTAGTTTCCATGGGCTGTCCTGTAAATAGCACATGGGCTCAGAGCTCTGCCCAGCAGGAAGGACCAGGACAGCCGTGGGAGGGCAGGAGTGGAGATCCTTGTCCCTGTGCCCTGCTCTGTTTGGGCATGGATGGGTGCAACCCCCACCCTCCATACCTGTCTTGGGCTTAGTCTGTTATGTTTTTAAGTCTCCTGTGCCCATGGCTCTATGCTCTCTGTGTTGCACTTCCTCTTCCACTGCAGCTGCCCGCCCTTCCTTTGGGACATGCCTTGGGCATTCACAGAATCCCAGGATGGTTTGGGTTGGAAGGGGCCTTAAAGCTCATCCAGTGCCACCCCCCTGCCATGGGCAGGGACACTTTTCACTATCCCAGGTTGCTCCAAGCCTCGTCCAACCTGGCCTTGGACACTTCCAGGGATCCAGGGGCAGCCACAGCTTCTCTGGGCAACCTGTGCCAGGGCCTGCCCACCCTCACAGCAAACAATTCCTTCCCAATATCCCATCTAACCCTGTCCTCTGGCAGTGGGAAGCCTTGTCCCCCTTGTCCTGTCCCTTCATCCCTTGTTCAGAGTCCCTCTCCAGCTCTCTTGGATCCCCTTTAGGCTCTGGAAGGGGCTCTAAATTCTCCCTGGAGCCTCCTCTTCCCCAGGACCAGTCATGCTGGTCCTTTTGACTCTTTCTGTACCAAACCCACCCAGAAGGTGCTGTTAAGGCTGGTTTCACAGCATACAACCCTGCCCAGCTCCTTCAGAGCCAGGAGCTCCTCCTGCCTGGAAACAGCTCTTTTGGGAACCTCCCGCGGAGGGATTTAAAAGACGTGTGGATATGGCACTTGGGAACATGGATGGGAACATAACGTTGTTGCAGGACTGAGCTCTTCTTTTTTTTCTGAAAATCTTGTCCCGTACTGCTACCATTGCTCTCACCCAGGAGTCTCTCCCACCCCTAAAAGAGAAAGATCTTATTTCATAAGAGGCTGTGTTTTCAGAGCACGGATCTGACAAGCACCGTTGGCTACGACAGCATCATCCAGCACCTGAATGATGGCAGGAAGAACTGCAAGGAGTTTGAAGACTTTCTGAAGGAAAGGTAGGGAGCTGCCTCTGATCACGGGTTGGGTTGATCCTGGGAAGTGAGGCTGTGGCTCTGTTCCCACTCCTGGTGCTCCCAGTTTGATTTCTGTTCTGTTTAACTGTCCACTATGTTAAAATACTCTCCTGTGAGGTTCGCCTTGCTGTTCACCTTGCAGAGGATCGGGTGAGGACTTTGGCCTGGGAGAGGCAGGGCTTTGTCCTGAATTTGTCTTTGTACGTTACGAACAGCCCACAGATTTAATGCTAAAATGTAGTAGCATTAGGTATTACCTTTATTAATCAGAGAAGATGGCCTAAGCAGAGGTTCTGTGGCTACAAAAACAACTGAGAAGGTCTGGCTTTATGGTTCACCTGTTTAACAATGGCTAAATACGAAGGGCATTGTAGAACCACCCTGGATTAATGTAATTTTGGTCATGAGAACTGGAAAAAAACAACCTGTGACCGGATGACTTGGTGCAGAGCAGCCTGGGACAAATATAATGGGGGTGAAGAGGAGGAGAACCTGCACTTAAAAGTGTCTGATGCACCTACATCTCTTTAGGCTGTAATCTCATGTTCCAGGAAAATTTTGGGCTTTCCAGCTGTGGAACTGGACCCTGAGAATCGTGTCCCCTTCATTTGTGACAACACATAGAGTGCCAAAAGCCTCCTCCACACCCCGTGTCCTCTTTGTTCTTGAAGTAGGTGTAGGTTGCCACCAGCGTGTCTTTCCAGAAGGAGATTAGAGGCTGGACCTGGGCTTGCTACTGGCACCTCTCTCTGAACGTGGCTCAGTTCTCTGTGCACAGCACGGCTGTTACACATTTCCAGCCATGGGGAATGTGCCTGTTGGATGCCTTGTCCCAAACGAAGTTCATGGGAATGTTGTTGGATGCAGGAATGAAAATCAGTTAATGATATTTATCTTTTTCCCGTTTTCCTACAAGCTTTGGGAGTTTCTAAGGAGTTAAGCTGGGTGAACCTCACTGCCAGACTCGAGAAGTCAGCAACACAGGTGTCTGCCTCTGTGTTAGGAGATACAGGCAATTTAGGAAGCTATTTATTTTATCCAGTAGTCCCTCTAATGCAGCCCTTAGGAGGACTTGTTTCTTTACACTGACTGCAGGCAGTTAGGGTTACCTAGGTGGAGATAGCTGCGTTTGACCAAGCAAGTCCAGCCCTGGTTGTCTGTGCTGATTTCAAAGCAGCTGCAGAAAGCTGATTGTTCTTGTGCTGCAACACATAGACTCTCTTTCCCCCTCTCTCATTCTTTCAAGAGCGGAGGACAAAAGGATCTCTCAAAGGTGTTGTTTCTGTTACCTCACAAGATTTGGCCTCTTCTTCAGGCATTCTCCATAAGGATCAGAGGCAGATCCAGAGAGTACTTATTGCCTCATTCTAAAAAGCCCTGAAGAGCTGAAATGCCCGAGCTGAGCTTTGCTGAGCTGAGCTTTGGGGTGCATGCCTGGTGGCCAAACTGTCTTTGAGGTGCCTGTTCCCTTCCTGTCACATTTGGTATAAATCAGCCAGCTCAGAGTCAAAAGTGCTTAGTGTGGACGGGCCAAGGGATCCCACGAGCCCTGTTCCATAGGAAACTGAGGGAAAAAAACTACCTAGGTGAGTCACCTGGCTGCATCTTCCAGCCAGGCACTGGCAGCTTAGTCCTCTGTCACCTGTGGAGTTGATCCTTGGACCCATCAGCCCAAGGGAGGTGAAGAGAGCAGCATATCGGGACCACAGACACAGCAAAGCCAAGTGTTTTCACTGGAAAACGTGGTTGGCACAGGTCAGGATTTCAGAGCAGGTCTTGACCTCCACTGCTAACAAGCCTTACTTTCTGAATTAGGAACTTTCTCTCATTTCTCTCTTTTCTCAACAGGGCAATTATAGAAGAAAAATATGGCAAAGAGCTCATCAACTTGTCAAAGAAGAAGCCCTGTGGGCAGACAGAGCTGAAGTGAGTCCACAATGCTGCGTGTGCTTTGCTTTTATGGGTTTCTGTGGAACAAAGAAGGAGAAAGAGAAGGAAGGAGATTGTGAGGGATGAAACAGCATTTTGAAATGTGATAGGGACGTCCAGAAGATGAGCTGAAACCATTCTCATGAATGAACAGTGCCCTAGCTGGGTTCTGCTTTGCTTTGAGCCGGACTCCACCAAGTTCCCACCAGTCACAGACTAACCAAAGCATTGCAGGTGCTCAGGTGAGGTGTGGACTGGTGGTTCAGCAGAAAGCTGAGGATCATGAGACCCAGGGTTCACTCCTGTCTGGTTTTGTAGCCAGAGGGAAGTTCAGGTTGACTCAAACCATGCAAATCTTCAAAGCCCAGCATGTTGTGACCCCTGTGGCTCCGTGAGTGGGTCTCATTTCCCCTGGGACCCTTGGCACTTCCTTCTCCCTCCTTTATTTCTGTACTTCATACATGCCCAGTCGGACATTCTCTGATCATTTTTTTTACAGTTTTGTGTCACATAAAATGTTTCTGAAATCAATAGGGAGAAAAGTTCTCCACGTTCCCAACCACAGGCCAACGCACCATGTAGAAGGTGTTCGTGTGCCCGAAAATATGCTTTAGGGAGGTTGCCTGGTACAGCCATCATGAAACTTGGAATTTTGATAGCATCCAGTGTTCAGAAAGATGTGAAGGAGATCTCAAACCAAGCGAGCTGTGCTATTGCTGAGAGAGAAAAAGCCAGAGTTGTAAAGAGGGTAGATAACCTGCCTTGAGTTGCTTTGACTGCTGTCAAGTGAGAGACTGTTTTGGCAGAGGTGCATTACTGATACTTGTGCCTGGCCGTGCTTTCCCAATCTTTTTAATGCTCCTCCTGTTTTTTTCTTTCAGCACACTGAAGAGATCCCTGGATGTTTTCAAGCAACGTAAGTAGTTCTTCATGCTTGTCATGTATCAAGGACACTTGGCTGGGCCAAAGCCTGAAGGCAACTTCTTAGGAAGGAAATGGCAGGGAAACCTGTAAAGTTGTGGTGATGGGGTCCGGCACAGGCTGTACTCTTGGCCTGGCTCTTCCCAGTGTGTGGGGTTTGGGACAGAGTGCGACAGGACACAGGTGGGAGAGAGACCCACAGGTCGTCTTTTGGGGGATCTCTTGGACTTTCAGGTCTGGCTGCAGCTCAGAGGTTGTGGTTTTGTTGTGTATCAAAGCTGTGCATGGGAAGCTCACTTGGGGTTTATTGGATAGGCTTGTCCTCTTCACACACACACACAGAAGTAATTCACACTTTGAATCCTGGGGGCTGTTCTGGGCCCCTCAGACAAGAGAGACATTGAGGGGTCAGAGCATGTCCAGGGAAGGGAACAGAGCTGGAGAAGGGTCTGGAGCAGCAGGAGCAGCTGAGGGAGCTGGGGGGGCTCAGCCTGGAGAGAAGGAGGCTCAGGGGGAACCTTCTGGCTCTGCAACTCCCTGACAGGAGGGGGAAGCCAGGGGGGGATCAGGCTCTTGTCCCAGGGCCTCAAGCTGTGTCAGGGGAAGTTTAGGTTGGATATTAGGGAAATTTCTTCACTGTAAGGGTTGTCCAGCCCTGGCACAGCTGTCCAGGGCAGTGGTAGAGTCCCCATCCCTGGAAGGGTTTAAGAGCCGTGTAGTTGTCACATTTGTTGACATGGGTTAGTGGCTTGGCAGGGCTGAGAGAATGCTTGGACTTGATGATCTTTAGAGGGCTTTTTCAACCTAAATGGTTCAGTGGTTCTAACTGAAATGTGTAAAAGACGATGCTTTGGTCACCACACACAGTCCCTCTGTCACAGCCTGCGAGGGTACTGGGCAGGCAGCACCTTAACGGTGAGCACTCTGCTACCCTGTGCCTGCTGTGCCTGCCAGGTTTGTCTGCTGCCCTTGTGGACATCCCTAACACGGCTCTGCCCTCACCGCTGCTGACTATTCCAGGCGGTGGGTTTGGAACAGCTTTGGGTGTGGAATCGCGAGCTGCCATTTGGCTCCTCTGCCTCGGTGCCCTGGCTGGCGTTTCGTGGTGTGGCAGCTCACCTTCAGCAAGAGGAGCCTGAGATTTCTCTGTAGCCTTAGTTTTTCCTGTTCCCCAGGTTGCTGCCTGCTGGCCTGGGGTAGTGCAATCCTTCACACAGCTGCGCCCGGGGCTCGATGTGTTGAAACGCGCCTGAATTCACCCGCGGGGTGGGGGGGAAGATGTGACCGTGATTGTTTGAGTGACTTTGCTCAGCTGGAGTTTCCTCAGACTGGGGGGGGCAGGTCCCAGCAGGGCTGATCCTTACGTAGGTGAGCCCCGCTCCGAGGCCGCTGCAAACGACCTGCTGCTTTTTTCACGTTTCCGAAAGGGGATGTGTGACGTGGGGTCAGTCTGAATTGAGAAACACAGTCTCTTTAGGAATATGTATATATATATATATATATAAGTTATTTTTGATTTGCAGAGATAGACAATGTGGGACAGGGTCACATCCAGCTGGCGCAAACCCTTCGGGAGGAAGCGAAGAAGATGGAGGACTTCAGGGAAAAGCAAAAACTGCATCGGAAGAAGGTCAGGCACTGTGGGAAGACGTGCCTTCCTGCAGGATGTTGATCCCACCCCGGCCATGGGCTGATCCCAGTGCTGTGTCCTGCTGTTCCCCAGCCCCCTCCGTGCCCCCAGTGCCTGCTGCTGCCGGGAAGTCCTGAGTTTCTTCCTACATGTTGCAACCACGCTGGTGAACTGTGCAGCAACCTCCGACTTCCTTCTTCTCACTGCCACATCGTCTCCCTTGGGTGGTTTTTGGGGCCAGCCACAGCAGGGGCTCAGCCCTGGGATACCAGCCTCAGCTGGGAATGTTTCAAAGCCTTTACATGCAGTTCGATCTCCACAGGGTCTCAGGCCAAGCCTTTAAACTTTTTCTTGAGATTCCTTTGTCTGGAAAATGAAGGAAACTGCTAGAACCAGGGGCTGGTTTGGACTAGCAGAGGGGAATGGGCTTCCCAGCTTTGTCAGAGCCTGTGGAGATGACACAGTATTGAACTTTGCTAGGATTTAGTTTGTAGAGCTCCTTTGCATACACAAGTCAAGGCTTAGAGAGAAGCATAAAAGATGAGTTTTGTGAAGATGCTTTGGGTGGATGAAGGCCCTTAAGGCCATCTCAGTCTGGTCTGTGACTCTTTCCCAGTCCACACAGTGGAGCTTTGATGGTCAGTGATGTGCTGATTCTGGGCCTGTTGTCTTTACAGATAGAGTTGATCATGGAGGCGATTCACAAAAACAGAAATGTGCAGTACAAGAAGACCATGGAGGTAAAGCAAACCTGCTGCTGTTTCTTGCCTTGTGGGTTAACACTGCTCAGACACAAGCAGAGAGATGGGGCAGGCTTCAGTGAGAGGGTTTTCCTCCTCTGCTGTGACACGGGACGCTGAATCTGTGTGAGTGGTGTGTGCAGGGGGTATTCAGAACATGAAAGGCACACCAAGGACACAGAATCACAGAAACACAGAATATGCTGAATTGGAAGGGACCCACAGGGATCATCGAGTCCAACACTTAGCCCTGCACAGGTCCATCCCCAAGAGTCATACCATGTGCCTGAGAGTATCATCCAAACACTCCTGAAGCCCTGTCAGGCTCAGTGCTGTGACCACTGCCCTGGGGAGCCTGTTCAGTGCCTGACCACCCTCTGGGGGAAGACCCTGTTTTTTATATCCAACCTAAACCTTCCCTGACACAACTCCAGGCCATTCCCTCGGGTCCTGTCACTGGTTACTACAGAGGAGACATGGCCAGTGGTAGCCTTTCAGGGCTGGATAATTGTGATTCAGAATCATAGAATTGTTCAGGTTATAAAAGCCCTCTAAGATCCTTGAGTCCAACCATTAATCAACACTGCCAAGCCCACCACTACTCACCCGTGTCCCCAAGAGCCACATCCACACCTTTTCTGAGCACTTTAATGGATGGGGACTGCACCACTGCCCAGGGCAGCCTGTGCTAGGGCTTGACAACACTTTCTGTGAAGAAATTTTTCCAAATATCAATTCTAAACCTCATCTGATGCAACTTGAGGTTGTTGCGTCTTGTCCTGTCCCTTGTTCCCGGGGAGCAGAGCCCAACGCCCACCCAGCTCCATTCTCCTGTCAGGGAGTTGCTCAGAGTGAGAAGGTCCCCTCCCCGGGCCTCCTTTTCTCCAGGCTGAGTGCCCCACCAGCTCCCTCAGCTGCTGCTCCAGAACCTTCCCCATGTCCGTTGCCCTCCTCTGGGCACTCTCATGGACTTGGTTGCCACGAGCTTTTCGTCCTTAAACGCAGCTTGTCTTGTGAGGCTTTCCCTAACCTGGGACTCTGAGTGCCACCCCCTGCTCCTCTGGCAGGCTGTGCCCACCTCTGCCCTCGTAGGCTGTTCTTTCCCCCAGAGCTCCCACCCGAGCTGTGTGCTGGTGTCTCTCCTAGGCCAAGCGCCTGTATGAGCAGCGGTGCCGGGACAAGGACGAGGCGGAACAGGCCGTGCACCGCAACGCAAACCTGGTGACGCAGAAGCAGCAGGAGAAGGTACAGGGAGGTGGGGCAGGGGGAGAAAGGGGCACCTCTTCTGTCAGCTCTCCTGCCCCACGGCTCCTCTGCCAGCTCTGGGTTTTGGGGTGCGATGGGAGGGCTGGTGGTGTTCACCAGCCGGGCTGCAGTGCTGCCGGGGATGCACCCAGGCACTCCTCCACCTTCCTTCTCTCTCGCGTTTTTGGCAGCTGTTCATGAAGCTGGCTCAGACGAAATCAGCTCTGGAGGACTCTGGTGAGTGTGAAAATGCCACATGGGGAGGGAAAGGGACATGTGTTTCCAGGGGCAGGGGGCTGTGAAGCCATGGCATGGCTCGTGGGCAAGCTCCAGCTCTTGGATCAGGTGCAGCTCCTTGGAAACACGTGCCCAAGATACCAGCAATGGGCACCTGCCCTGGAGAAGCCTGCATGACCCCACCAAGCCCATGTCCTTCCACTTTATCCCTGATGTCCCAGCCACTTCAGCCTTCATGTACTACCTTCTAGTGAAGGGTTTTTTTAAATTAGTGTTAATCATGGAGTCAGTGAATGATTTGGGTTGGAAGGGGCCTCATTCCAACCCACCCTGCCTATCGACCTTCAGCTGACACTGTGATTTCTCTCTCGCAGACAGAAGCTACCAGCAGAGTGTGACCACACTGGAGAAGGTCCGGGAGGAGTGGCAGAAGGAGCACATCAAAGCTTGTGAGGTAAATGCCCCAAAACACCTTTGCATGGCAGCGTGGTCCTCTGGGTGTCCACGCCTGTCTGCAGGGCTCAGATTTGCCCTCTGTGTATTCCCCCGGCAGTGAAGCTGCAGGGTGTGTTGCAGCTAACCCTGTGTGTGCCTAAAACTTGGCTTCTTGATTCAAGGCCCCACTACTTCAAGGTTTCCACTTTTTAAAAATTATTTTCCCACCACCTTTTAAAATTGGCAGAGCCAAGGTAGTGACATTTTGCCCGTGATGTACTTGCCCGTTTGGCACGACTGTCACTTTGGACAGCTGTGGTCGCCTCTGGGTACTCAGTGATTCAAGGCCAGTATGTCCTAGAGCCTCAGCAACACCTGGAAGACTCTCCCTGAAACTCTGAAAGACTTTGCATGGGCAGGGACTGCAGAGACTGAGGTTTTATCCCAGGTTTGCAAGCAGCCTTCCCATTCCCAGCTGTGCTGATCCCTTCCCATGTTATTTCTCATCGGGCTGTGATTTTACTTTTCTGTTTCGAACTGGCATTTGCTGTCTGTGTTGCATGGTGTGCATGAGTGTCTCAGTGATGTCTGGGGTCTCTGGAAGCCTCTATGATGGGGACATTTCAAAAGGTATACCAGATTATGATTTCTGGTATGCCAGATTTCAAAAGTCTTGGGTTGAAGTCTGCTTGGGAAAGGTCTGGGCTGGAAAGAGGGAGAAGACCAACCAGTCAATGTACCTCTGATTTCATGCATCCCCTGTGTTTATTTATTGCTCCATACCTGGAGCCTGGAAGTGTTAAAAGGACACGTAGGTGTGGCACTTGGGGCCATGGGTTAGTGGTGCCCTTGGCAGTGCTGGAGAAATGGTGGGACTTGGTGATCTTAGGGGGCTTTTCCAACCTAAATGATCCTGTGATTCTAGGACACCTGTGGAAGGGAAGCGAGCTGGGACCACAGGAGCGTGGGGTACCTAGGGAACATGTACTGCCTTTAGGAATCTGGCTTGTTCTCCCCAGAGGTGTTCGGTGACCCCCTTCACATCAGTTCCTGCAGGCCTTCTCAGCTTAACAAACACTCATCTTAAACTCACCTGGTTGCACAGAGGGATTGTTTTTCTTCTGGGCAATCTGAAGGACTCATGGTTTCCTTCTTTCCTGCAGAAGACCAACACCCCCTGCTCCTTGCAGTGGTCTTTTCATGACCCTTGGGAATGAGAAGCAGTAAGGATTAAAGGAGATTTGCCCTCATTTTAAAGATGCTGTGGCCTGTGTTGTCTGTGTTGTTTCAGTTCTTTGAGACCCAGGAGTGTGATCGGATCAGCTATGTCCGCAACGCCCTCTGGCTTCATGTCAACCAGCTCTCCCTGGGCTGTGTCCAGAATGATGAGGTACCTCAGCTGAAACTCTTCATTTTCCTATGTGGAAAGCAGAGCCCGGTTTGTTTTCCTGTGCTCTGAGCTGTGCTACGTCTGAGTTGGACTGTGGCCCTTTACTGGCCACCAGACACCATCAGGAGTGGGCAGGCAGAAGGTTTGGCCAAAACTCTGGCAAGATGAGCTTTCCCCTGGGATTCACACTTTTCTTTTGAGTGTGCTGAAACACTGGAACAGGTTTCCCAGAGAAGCCCCATCCCTAAAAGTGTTCAAGACCAGGTGGGACGGGGCTTGGAGCAACCTGATCTAGTGGGAGGTGTCCCTGCCCATGGCAGGGGGTGGAATGAGATGGGCTTTAAGGTCCCTTTGAGCCTGGACCACTCTAAGATTCTGTGATTCCCCTGTCACTGAAGCTTGTGCCCTGCGTGAATATTGAGATTTCTCCCCGCGTCTAATGGACAATTGTTTTGTTTCGTTTTCTCTTGTTTTTTGACCTGATGTAATAGAAATGCATTTTATTTCCCTTTTGCAGAAATATGAGGAAATCCGCAAGAGTTTAGAGATGTGCAGCATTGAGAAGGACGTTGATTTTTTTGTAAATTTGCGCAAAACTGGAAGTTTGGCTCCAGGTAAGAACTTAGTCCAATCTCATGAAGTAGCCCCGTACTCCCTATGGAGCTGCTGCTCTGGTCAGCATAATTTGGGGTGCGAAAAACATTGGTTTTGCAACATTCCTCCTTTAGTTCACTGCCATGCAGCACGAGTCTCTGCCAGTTTCAACAGTCCCTGAAGATAATACTCCCTGTTTTAATTTCCTGATCAGGCATTTTCACAGGGAGGGGAAGGACTTAGGATCTGACTGTTGGTATAACAAGTATTTTATGTCTATAAAAGGCCTGTGCTTTACTACTGTTGACTTTTCCTAGCTCCTGTTGTTTATGAAAACTACTACAATACACAGAGAAATGTGACTCCTGCGAGAAGTCCACTGCCTGTACCTATATCAAGGTAAGGGACGTAACATGTGCCATTGCAATTGCTGTTGCAAATTGTGCTTTCACCCCCCCCCCCCCAAAAAAAAAAGGCATATTTTGTTCCTTTTAGTCTATTGGAAGCTTGACTTGGGAGTATTAGAGGAAAATATTTCCTTGCGTGGTTCTTGTTGTGATCTGTCCATCTGAGGAGTGTTAAAGGCATGTGTGGGTAGAGGGAGGAACTGCAGAGCCGAATTCACTCCCCTGGGATAGAAGCTGGGCCAGGAGGACAGGCTGACAGGTGTTTCTGCTGGGGGGCAAGGTGACAGTGAGGGCCAAAGACTCCTGCTGAGGATGAGTGTGCCACTTTGGCAGCCACACTGGGAGAGGAGTCATGTCCAGCTATGGCTTCCTGATGTCTTACTCTGGGCAAAGGCATGTATAAAGGCATACCTGTCAATTTTCCCCCAACTTAGTGCTTTTTGGTTGCTTTTTCCTCTCCTGCACCGTATCAGCTTCAGTTCCTGTGTTTGCCAAGCAGGCTGTGTGGGTGGTGAGCCCACCGGGTCTCTTGTATAAAGCCCAGATTGCCAAACCTCTTGCCTTCCCACCAGCTCTGGGAGGGCAGTTGGGGAGAGCAGAACCAGGGCAAAGGGAACCTGTATCCATGCAGATCCTCACCTCTGTGTTTCCTTCTGTGCAGGAGGGGACCTCTGCCCACCCCAACCAGTGCACCAGGTGAGTTATTGCTTTATGGGCTGTCTGGCCCCAGGGAGGAACTATTACTCCATGCCCTGGTCCAAAGTCCCTCTCCAGCTCTCCTGGAGCCCCTTTAGGCACTGGAAGGGGCTCTCAGGTCTCTCCTGGAGCTTCTTCTTCTCCAGGCTGAACATCCCCAGCTCTCCCAGGCTGGCTCCACAGGACACCTCTTTGAGCCTCATTCACCCTTACACCCCATCCCTTTAACATGGATGGCCAGTGTGTGGTGTTTCTGTCCTGTTTGAAGCCTTATAATGAGCACTTCCCATGAGGAAACCTGGGGGTTTTTTTGTGTTCTCTGTTTCAGGGGAGCCTGATTACGCCACAGTTGATGGCTACAGCTTGGTACATTTCTAGCAGTCACAGTAAGTACTCACTTTCAATGAAGAAGGGGGGCTTATAGGAAAGAGGGGGAGGGATTTTTAACCTGGGCAGATAGTAACACAACAAGAGGGAATTTTAAACTAAAGGAGGTTAGATTTAGGTTGGCTGTAAGGAAGAAATTCTTACCTATGAGGGTGGTGAGGCCCTGGCAGAGGCTGCCCAGAGGAGCTGTGGCTGCCTCATCCTTGGAAGTGTTGAAGGCTGGGTTGGATGGGCTTAGAGCAACCTGGGATAGTGGAAGGTGCCTCTGCCCATGGCAGGGGGGTGGAACAAGATTCCAGCTGAAACCATTCTTGGATTCTGGAGCTACCTAGGAGAGGGACAGTGGAGAAAGAAAGGCCACTGACTAAAGGGTGATATTTGAAATGACCAACTGGATGCTCCTGCCCTCACTTCTCTGGGCTGGAGCTGTGGTTTAGACACTGTTGATCCTGTTCTGTAGGTTTTCCAGGCAGAAGACAGCATTGGTTTGACCAGCGTGGCAGAGGTGGTGTTTCCCGTTATTCCCAGACACACAGAGCTGAAGTGCTTCTGCTTTTCAAAAAAAAAAAAAAAAATATTTGAGGACTGATAATTATTTGTACATCCAGAAAGCGCCTACTAAAAAATCTGTGCCTTTGATCAGCAACTCCTTGGATGGATATCCTATCTTCAAACTCAGAGGAAGAAAAGGACCTGACACAGGGGCGATTTGTCTTGGAAGAAACGTTTGATTTGAAGTTCTTCTAAAGTGCAGCCATCTGGGAGAGGCTGGAGTGTCCCACTCTCCAGATGACTAGCTCATATGTGCTGAAGGGAGTGCTGCATGATGCTTTGGGCACGCTGGCTTGTGTTCAGGGCACCTGCATCCCCCTCGGATCTCAGGTTACTCTTTTGCCTGTCTCTTTCATTAGTGGGGATTTAACTTGCCATTTAGGTTTAAGTTTTCTCTCATGTCTTGGGGATCTCACTTAGGGGAGCACCAACAGCTACACCGTGTGTCTGGCTTATCTGTAGGTGTGCTCCAGGCGTAAGTGCCAAATGATTTGCATCTTGCCTGGGGCAGCTGTTCACAGCATGGCTGCCCAGTGAGGGGCTGTGCCACCAGAAACCTGCTGGGAGGTCCCACATCCCACAGTGTTGTTGAGGATCTGGAGGACGTTGTTCAGCTCTCCCAAATGCCTCTCGGATGAGGGGCCTGTGAGTTTTTAGGTTCATGGTACAGCTTGTCCCTGGTAGGCTCTGGGGTCCAGGTTGGACAGGGCTCGGAGCACCCTAGTCCAGAGGAAAGTGTCCCTGCCCACGGCAGGGGTTTGGAACTATATGATCTTCAAGGTCCTTCCCAACCCAAACCATTCTATAGTTCTATGATTCTGTGATTTAATTAGCTTTTGACAGTCTCTAAACTTTGGACTTGTTCTGACTGTGCACTGCTGGAAACAAACTTAGCTACTGCTGGAGCCATGAAACTTCTTTTCCGACCAAACTTCCTGTCATTTTTGTTACCATATATATATATATATATATATATCTTTATGATTATGGCTTTGATTCAGAAGCTCACGTGCTTTGGGGCTGCTGCTCTCTCTCTGATGTCCCTGTGTGCAGTGCTGCTTGACCGCCCCTCAGTGCCCCACGACACTGGACACAGGGACACAGGACATGGGGATAAACACACACAATTTACCTGTCTAAACCTGGTGCCAGGTGACTGACCTGGAGCAGCAGGGTTTGCTATTTGTACGACGTTTTTCCAGATGAATCTGCGCGGCTTTCATCATGTGTCCCAGCCTGTCAGTCCTTGGGGGCTTTTTACTGTGTTTTCTTGTGTGGGGAAGATGGCAGGGAGCTCTCTGACATCTGTCGTCCTGCGAAGTGCGCGTGCCAAGGAATCAGCTATCCTGTTTTATTTCTGAAAGACCAAGGACACAAGTGTTACTCTGGAGGAGCCTGCTGTAGTCTTAGCTCTTTAAATACATATTTAAAAAAAAAAAAAAAAAGAATTTTGAGTCTCGTGTGCTGGATCCGTGGGGTTTTTTAAAAGGTTGTCTCGTTCACTTTCTGTGGGGGCTCTGGTGGGACACCTTCAAAGCGTATCCTTGCTCAGCCTTTATTTCAGTTAATACCAACTGCTGGTTAATACCAACACAGATGTGGGAGAAAACACCCCAAAACAGACTGGCACAAGGACAAGCACTTTCGATCAGGCATGAACAGCTGACCACGTAGGGCTGTCTCCCCTGGAAGAGCGTCTGCTGTGCGATACATGGCACTGTTTCTCTGTCGGGGTTTTCCCGCTGAGCACAACAGTTGCTGTTACGCTTTTCTGGATGCAAAGGTCCCCAGTGAGGCTGAAACTCAGCTTGCACGGTCATTAAATGCACCGTAGCGATCCCAAAATAGGGGTGCAGGGGAAGGGGCTGGAGGAGCAGGAGCAGCTGAGGGAGCTGGGAGGGGGCTCATCCTGGAGAAAAGGAGGTTCAAGGGGGACCTTCTGGCTTGGATTCTATGAAAACACCAACTGTTTGCACATACCTAGGCCAAAAAAACCCCAGCCTTGAAGAGGAGTGTCCAGACTCTGGAGCTACTGGGAAACAAGTCTGTGTGTCTATGGGCGCCAAAATGGCTTTTTATCTTCATAATCTCCATCATTTTCCCTTGCCTCATTGCTTTCCAAGTGGTGCAGAAGACTTTGGCCTCTTCCCAAGCCCCTGTGGACGAGCCCAGCCTGTCCCTGAGCCCTTTATTGAGGGTGAGCTACCTCACAGGGGGGATCTGGTGGCTTCCACACCCAGCAGGAGTGCCTGGCCTCCCTATAGACCCTGGTAACCAGTTATGCAGCTCCTGTCTTCTCTCCTCAGGGTAAGCGAGACGACAAATGCTTAGTAAGGCAAGAGTGTAGGGGTTAACAGTGGGTCTGTTAGCTCCCTGGAAGAGGAGATCAACTTGGGAAACTTTCAAGTGTGGCATTGAAGATAAGTAAGTTTTACACACAGGCTGACTGGGGTGCTAGGGTGGACTGTGAGTCCCTGGATTTGGTGAGTGAGAACCACAGCCTTATCCTTGGACATCTCCAGGTGTCTCAAAGATTGCTGCCAAGTGTATCAGTGATGATGAGGGGCCAATTAGGACGCTGTTGCTTGCTTGCTACTTGCTTGTTACTTGCTCGCTGCTTTTTGAAAATGATATGAAAGGAGCAGGGATTTTAATAAAGGAGGGAGCATTTCTTATGCTGCCCTGAATCAGCCTTCTTGTGTGTTTTTTATTGGACCACCACGACATAACGGCAACACAACAGCTTTCATAAGACAGAATAAGAAGGGAATAGGGCAAGGTGGAACAGCTTCCCACTGCTAGAGGGCAGGGTTAGACTATATACTGGGAAGGAACTCCTCCCTGTGAGGGTGGTGAGGCTCTGGCACTGGTTGTCCAGAGAAGCTGTGGCTGCCTCTAATCCCTGGAAGTCTTCAAGGCCAGGCCGGATGGGGCTTGGAGAAACCTGGGGTAGTGGAAGGTGTCCCTGCCCATGGTGAGGGGTGACTGGAACTGGATGAGCTTTTAAGTCCCTTCCAACACAAACCATTCTGTGACTCTTTGATTAATGTGGGTTGCAAATAAATCTTACATCCTTCAGATGCTGGGCACTCTGCCTGGAGGCAGAGTCGACAGATCTCTCTCTGATCCCGCAAGCTAATTCAGAAATTGTCATAAGGAAACAGCTCTGTTTGTAAAGGAAGTTCACATGAGGACTTCTTGCTGTATTTCCAGCTAGAGACAGGGCCAGGAAGGTGGTCAGGATCAATGCATCCCCCCCTATACCCACAGACATGACCAATTTCAGGTTACACTAATAACACAGGGGCTTCTCAAGCCCCAAGTGCAGGGTCCCACAGAGTGAACACTGCCTGTTCAAGGTGATTAACTTGACTGTGATGTCTTCTGCAAGGTAACACTGAACCCTGTAAAGGGCTCATCCATCTGGGGACTGGGAGAAGTCACTCTTCCTCCCTGTGGAGCCCAGGCTCTGTTCCAGCCAGAGTTCCCCGGGGATGTCTGGGTGCCAGGACTGGGACCTGAGAGGCAGCAGTTCCTGGCCCGGGGCTGAGCCAGCATTTCCACTGTACTGGAAGTGCCTCAGGAGCCGAGACAGGTAGATGTCACACTCAACATCCTCGCTACTGGGGTCTTGGCTTCTCATCCCATATTCCTTTTGGGCAGCAGCCTGGGCTCCTCCCAGCCCCTATGGAGGGTCTCTTGGTCTATACAGGGGACCTCAGCCCTATAGTGGTCTGTGGGTCCGAATGGACAGTCTGTGTGTCCCTGTTGTGGACGCTGACTTCCCCCAGACCCCTATGAGTGGGTCCCTACCGCAGACCCCAGCTCCCCTATGGAGGGTGTCTGGGTTCCTATAGCGGACCCTTCTCCCCTGTGGACAGTCTGTGAGTTGGTCCCATGGATGGTCTGTGGGTCTGTATGGGTGGTGTTTCCCCACAGACGGTGTGTGGGTCCCTACAGCACTCTGTGGGTCCCTATGGATGGTCTGTGGCTCCCTATGGACACTCTTTCCCTATGGATGGTCTGTGGGTCCCTACAGCGGTGTGTAGGCCCCTATAGCAGCCTGTGGGTCCCTATGGATGGTCTGTGGGTCCCAGTGGACAGTGTTGCCCTACGTACGGTGTGTGGGTCCCTGTAATGCTGTGGGTTCCCATGGATGGCCTGTGGGTCCCTATAGCAGTCTGCAGGTCCCTACAGACAGTGTTTCCCTATGGGCGGTGCGTGGGTCCTATGGACTGCGTGTGGATCGCTCCAGCGCTCTGTATGCCCCCACACTGTGGGCTCCGTGGGTCCCTATGGCAGCCTGTGGGTGCCCATAAGTGCTCTGTGGGTCCCCAGGGCAGCCCGTGGGTGCCTACAGCGCTCTATGGGTCCCTAGGGCGGTCCGTGGATCCCTACAGTGCTCTGTGGGTCCCCAGGGCGGTCCGTGGGTCCCTAGGGCAGTCCATGGGTGCCTATGGGCACTCCGTGGGTGCCTAAGGACGCACCGTGGGTACACAGGGCAGTTCGTGCCTAGGGCAGTCTGTGGGTTCCTGTGGCAGTCCTGGGTCCCCAGGGCAGTCCGTGGGTGCCTACAGCGCTCTGTGGGTGCCCAGGGCAGTCCGTGGGTCCCTATAGCGCTCTGTGGGTTCTCAGGGCAGTCCGTGGGTGTCCAGGGCAGTCCGTGGGTCCCTTCGGCAGTCCGTAAGTGCCCATGCCCGCTCTGTGGAGCTCCTCTCCCCTCACACTCCGCCCCGCCCCGCCCGTCCCCCCTGAGAGGCTCCGCCCCCTATCCCGTCCCGCCCTCCCATTGGCCGAGGCCGGGGGGGGCGTGTCCCGGCCCGGCCGGTGCGGCGGGGCGCGGGCGCAGCGAGGCGATGGCCGAGGCCGTGCGGACCCCGCGCCGCGCCCGCGGCCGCGCCAAGGTAAAGGGGACCGGGGGGTGAGGGGAGGATAAAACGGGAGGGCGAGGCGCGTCCCTCGGCGTCCGCACGCCCTGCGGCGGCCGGGGTGGGTTCCGCGCTCGGCGGTATCCGCGCCAGGCCGTGTTTTACATCCGCGTTCGCGCGGCCTCTGGTGGAGGAGGGGGGAGAGAGGAAGGGAAGGGGTGGAGAGGGGAGTGTGTATGTGGGGTGTGTGTGTGTGTGTGTGTTGTTGTTGGTTGTTGTTTGTGTTATAAAAAAGGTTCCTGCTTCCTTTCGCTCCTAACAGCGCGGGTTTGGAGCAGCTGGCGGTGTGTGTGGTAGGCCCTGCGCCGTGGCAGGATGTAAACAAGGTGTTTACCCTGTTGTCCTGCGGCCTCCTCGGGTGTCCCGTGTCCTGTGGGACGGCCCCGGGGTTGGGCAGCCATGGAACTTGTCAGCATTTACGGGATTTTAGCGTAGGGTTCTGCTGAGAGAGCTGGCGGTGGCCAGCCTGGAAAGGCAGGAGGCTCCAGGGAGGCCTTGGAGCTCCTTCCAGTGCCTAAAGGGGCTCCAGAAGAGCTGGAGAGGGACTTGGGACAAGGAATGGAGGGGCAGACAACGGGGAGTGGCTTCAAACTGCCAAAGGGCAGGGTGAGATGGGATATTGGGAAGGAATTGTTGTCTATGAGGGTGGTGATGCCCCGACACAGGTTACCCAGAGAAGCTGTGGCTGCCCCTGGATCCCTGGAAGTGTCCAAACATCAGGCTGGTTGGGGCTTGGAGCAACCTGGGCTAGTGGAACATGTCGCTGCCCGGGGCAAGCTGTGGAATGAGATGGTGTTTAAGGTCCCTTCCAACCCAAACTATTCTGTGATGCCACATCTCATTTGTATAGAATTGTCTGTGAAGTGCTCAGAACGTGAGGCCATGTATAGCACATGGCAATGCTGCTGCTTCATCAGTTGCTGCTACAGTTTTTAAGTATCGCTCTTCCTAGGCTTTATGCTGTTTTAAGGGTGTTCTCTGCTCATGGTATGAGTACTGACAGCTTTCTGAAGGCTTGATTTTCTTTATATAGAGTGTCAGTTGCCGTGGGTATTTAAGCGAGCGGGAAAGAACGACACATCTATGAGATGCAGATTCAAATCCGTTTTATTATCAGAAGGCTACTCGATATATAATCTTTTGAGTTCTGGACATGCGACCAGGAGCACAGCATGCTATTATGATTGGTCAGCACACACTGTCCATGCGCCTCAGACAGTCCAACGATTGGTAGTCTTAAAGCACACATTCCTGGGAAAAGTTTCTGTTATCACCGTTTCTCACACATTGCTTTCTGCTGACCTCTGCATTCCTG